TCCCTGCTCGCTCACTCATTATTTCGCAAAATTGCAAACGGCGGTCATAATAATCCTCATGAAGTTCCTGGACTAAATGTATTTTGTATGGATGGAATTTATTCTTCTTCAAAATGGTTTGTATGCTAGTTCGATTGATCCCAGACACAGATGCCAGCTGCCTCGTACTTAATGTAGGATCAAGATGAACTTGTCCCAAAACTGCAACTTCACTAGCTTCATTAACTATAGGTTTTTCAATTTCTCGTTTTTTATTGGCTACGTTCCCTGTCTCTTGAAATTTTTTTACTAACTCTAGAACATACTTCCTCCTGACATGTCGATCTTGATGTTGTTCATTAAATAGCTGAGCTGTTCTATTCGCACATTTATTGTTCATAAAGTAAAGCGAAATGATATCTACCCTTTCCGCAATGGAATAAACCATAGTGTTTAATTTTCAAAAACACAATTAAATAAACTACCAACCAACGCTTCCAAATAATACTAGAAAATAATTTGGAATCCACTAATTTTACGTTCATTGTGTGTGTATAGCATTCATTTCTGTTTTTTACAATTGTGTTTTTTTTTACGAAAGTGATAACAAATCGCCAAAAACCAATGTAACGCAAGAAATACTAAATTTATACCATTGGCGTACTTAACTCGAATGACTGACATTTTTACCGTTACTAATTGTTTGTACATAAGTTTCAACTTTAAAATCAAAATTCTTAATAAGTATTGGGCGGAATTATAAAATTTAAAGTCTGTTGTAAAGAGAATTGTAAGAGCTTTCAAAAGAAATATTACTCAACCCACAATGCCATTTAAATATTTTGGGGTGATGCTTACCCTTGCTTGGGGGTGAAAGTGGCGGAGTCAAAAATTCCAGCAAAGAATGTCCCCCTCTAATCTAAAATCGACGGGTCTGAGCGTTTTTCTACAAGACGCAGTTCTGTTTCGTTTTCATTTGGCCACCCTGTATGCTGAAGATCCGGCAGTATGTACCCATAATATGACCAACGCGATTTTACTGGCAATTTCAAACAGAATTACATTTCCCTCGTTTGTTCGTATAACATCATCCAAATATGTCCTAATATATTATCCCGGGGACAGAAAAATGTACTATTTTACAGAGTCCCAGGCATAGTTACAAATTTCGGCCATTTGTGGATGTGCAGACATACATGCGTATATATTAACTAACGGACCTATATATGCGCGCTGAAAATTGTACATTCGCGTACGCTGACGTTATTAAATGATAAACATTGTTTATTACTTAGCAATTTGCGCTGTTTGTCATTTATAGGAGGAAGTTTTTATTATTTTCTAACCGCCAGACTCGTCTATACAAGGTGTGCTTTGAGTTTAAAGACTGTAGTAAATTTACTAACAAATGTGCTAAAAACTTATTTAATATTAAATATTTATCGATATGTAAACTAGTAACATCAGAGACATGCAACTAACATTAACTGAAGACTTGTAACTAACATTAACTAAAATTAACCTTTAAAGAAAAGTGTTATATCGGGTCAATCATTTAAGTCTGAGTAAAAAATGACTAATAATCTCAGAATAGAGTCAAAAGTCGCTCAATTGATAGTTAGCAGTAACTCGGATTTTAATAAAACTCACTCATTTCTGATGCAATAGTTTCACTCAGTTGTACTCATACTAATAGAGTGAAAATTTCACTCAATCGGGTGTTGATAGAAACTGATACATTATTGAGTAAAATTGAGTAAGATTTGAGTGAAATTTTTTTACAGTGTAAAATAAATTATTGGACACATTTTTTTTGTGATTATGTTCTAGAACTAAAATTCGAAAGGTGCGTAAATTCTTAAGTAGTAAAATTAGGTATTTCATGGACCTTTCATGCAAACTCTATAACCTTAAAGCCCCCTAACCTGCACTCGAGAGCAAACTACATACACTGTAAAACAATCGGTGTGAGTTAATACATTGAGTGAAATTATTGAGTACACTTTCACTCAATATTGGGCATTTTGATCATTTTACTCATTTGTGATTATATTTAAACTAAAACTGAGTACTTTCACTCAAATATAGGTACTCCTTAAGTAAATTCTTCACGTAAACTCGTATTTGGTGCACTCGCACCTAAATCAGAGTAAATGTCCTCATTACTGAATGAGTTTAAGTGTATATTAATTTCTAGTAATTTAATTGGCGCCGTGAAGAAGTGAAGAAGAAGAAGACTTACATATTGCTTCTGTAATCTCGATCACAGTTGATAAGGGCCAGTTAGAAGCTCCAGAAAAGCGTGATCGCCAGGATAACAGACCTTAGCTGGTGGTGGCGGGTCTCAGCTGGCGGGTCTCAGCCAGGACAGGAGGACGCCCTACTAAGTGACATTAATTTCAACACTGTATATCCTAATGAATCATTTATGACTAATTTTTGCACTCAATATTTAGTTAATTAAAAACCAAATCTGAATAAACAAAAAGTCAACTATAAATTGGTTTTATATACTCAGAATTGATAGATAGCAGTAACTTGGATTTCACTAAAACTTACTAATTTCTGATGCAATAGTTTCACTCAGTTGTACTCGTATTAAATGAGTGAAAATTTCACTCAATCGGGTGTGGACAAAAATTGATACATTATTGACTAAAATTGAGTGAAATTTTTTTACAATGTAATTGCACGGTTCGAGAGAATCTGATGAGCTGAGTGACAGTACGAGGAGGCCTATAACTAACTACGTATTCCAAAACCTTGGAATGGGGAACTGTGTAATCCTATTACCCTTCAACCCTTTATCAAAAACCACCATAACCTCATGACACCAGAGACTGGGATCGGAATGAAAAAACATGGAAATTAAAATGATCACAATATTTATGCTTGGTTAACCTTGGAGCCTAGACTTAGGTAACCCTATAACCCCATGACCCTTTATCAGAAACCGCCATAACCTCATAAACCCAAGAACCCCTACGAGCCTGGGAATGCAGTGAACAAGACGAAGGAATCTAAATCTATTCACTGCATTTCCAGTCACATAGAGCTATGGGACTACGAGGGTTCTTGAGTTTATGATAAAGGGTTGCGGGTTATAGAGTTACTTACTTCAGGGTTATTAGTCAATCATAAATATCGAGATGATTTGAGTTCCTTCGCTCTGTTCACTCCATTTCCTGTTTCATAGGGTTATGGGGCTCATTTCTCATTAGGTGGTTTTTGATAAAGGCTAATAAGATTACTGAGTTGCCCATTTCAAGGTTTTAGAAACGAGATCGCAACCCTCATATTCTCAGGGTTAGCTTATGGCATTATGTAAAGGTTAAGTGGTTGCGAGGGTTGCGGTCAAGGGATATCAAGGTTATAGAGTTTGTATGAAAAGTCCATGTTGTCAAGTGCTTTGGCATTGAACTGGTGGATAGAACATTTTTTACGCATCTTTCGGAACACGTGATGCTCGTTTATGAGGTGATACAAACGTTACACAGTTAATATCTACGCTTATACGGTTCCAAAAACTTAAGATCGCGAGGAACATCGCGCTTGATATTCGCTATAACTGTACCTTTAACAATAGGCGTCCTTTTAATGCCTTAAAATTTGATGGACGCTTTACATTTTAACTTTTTATGCATCATTTCGGTTTATTGGTTGTTTACTGTGTTCATTGCCCATAAATGTTTGTACCACGTAATTTTCTTTTGTCGTAGCAAATACAAAATACACAAAAGGCAGCGTTTACAGCTGTACAGGTACCTAACAGGCGACATTTCTGTATCAATCGATACTTTTATGTGATAATATATTTTCTCCCCTTATTATCTGATGTAAGGTATTCAGTAGGTGGGCATGGAAGATTATTATACCTACATTGTTAAAATACAGTACGGTATCTAATGTTTCAAGTTTATGTAACAACAAAGATAGTCGTATCATTACGTACAATCTATCATTTTTCGATTAGATTGGATCGAAATTTAGATTTCAAATATGATTATAGTATCATTAGGCTGAGGATTAGGATTACCATTATGATTATTTTCCAATTTCGGTGACAGTTGCAACGATTTTTGTGGTTTGACTGATGCGTAAGACTAAGGCTGGGATTGCGATTAACAATTTCGTTTCTAATTTCAGTTATGGTACAGGATTTATTCAATTATTATGTCAGAATATTCTTCATCACAAGCTTGTACTGCAGAATGCTTACTAATCTTTGGAACAGTTTCTGTTGATGGGATGATAATGTAAGAACAATTAAGTACAACTATCTAATTTTTCGATTCAAATTCCATAAAAATTTATATTTCAATTGTGACTACAGTATCATTAGGTTTACGGTTGGGAGTATAGTCTTTCCGATCTCAATTGAAAACCAAAGAGCTAGGTAGTATGTACTAGGTTCGATCGCTACGCAGCAACCCGGCATTGAAATAATTGAAAAACTTGTTCCCATATTTATTTAGCCATACCTATATGCAGGTCTGGTGAACTAAAGGTGGAGGAGGTAGAAATGTATACGGACAGTGGAAGAACGCGCGCGGGGGCAAACGGCGCACAAACATAGCCGCACTGGGCGATCGACCATAAATTTCAGTTGTTAACAAATTGCCTAGCAGTGCAGTGCGAATTTTCATATAGTTATTTTATTTTATTGTTGATTATTTTTATTTAATAACTTTTCTAATCTAAACTAACAACCTTTCCTCATCCTTTTTTTGGCAAGGATATGTTCATACCTTCAAAATGTAAATGTTTTTTGATATGTCATAACCAAAATTTACCATCAATAAAACTATTTGAGGACATAAATAATTAAAATATGTTGTCAATATATTATTGTTTTCAATTATTGTAATCAAACCACTGCATTTAAACATAATTTTCATCAAAATATGAGTACTAGGACTAGGAAATAAAATATTTTCAAGGAATTCCCATTACTGTTACCATGACTAGATAAATAACAAACATCGAACATATTTCTATTACTTGCCTGTTTTCCTTCGAAACTTGAGTGGGTTTTTTCATCGTAGCTGCAGCTGCTCGTTATTAAATGCATTTCGTCTAAGGCCATATCCCAGTCCTAGAATAATAACAGAAATTCTTCAAAATGCAATTCTTTTAAAAACAGTTTAAAGTTTAGAAATTTAATATCGTAATATTAAAGTAGCGCTGAACAATAAATATGTTCTTCACAGGGGATGAAAATTATGGCGGGCGAGTTTGTCTAAAAGGCTTTTTAATAAATTATGTCTTTAAATGAAAACTTTAGATCTATGTATTTTAAGCAAAGTATTTCAAGGAAGAGAAGGCATATATATCATATTCTAACATGAATTAAAAACGTATAATTAAAAATACTTTAAATATATTAGATTTTTAACTTAATAATAAAAGTTGTACCAGTTTTGTTTAATAGTTTGCAGTATTTCTAATTTAAGGACGATTGTAAGGATATTTAAATAATTTTAATCGGTGCCTGTGGCTTTAGAGACTTTAAATCATTTGAAAAATATCTTTAATCAGAAAGAAACGCTTGTCAGAACTGCGGGAATTTCCCGATTCCTTCCCCAACCAGATCGAGTTTTAACTTAAATGAGAAAATCTGTCACAACGGTTTTTTGAGCGCCACTTATCATACTGTATGAGAAATCATAAATCAATTATAAGATAAAAAGTTTGACGCCAACTTAACTGTTTTTCAAGATTTCCGATTAAGTTACCAACTTTCAAAAGCTTAATTAGATCCGCACTTCTTAATTTGAAGTTAATCCCACAAAAAAACTCTTTTACCAAATAACGGTCTCAGCAAAAAGTAATGAGCCTGTCTCTTAGGCTAGGGGACACACAGAGCATTATACTTGCTCGTCATTACAGTCACTAAGTGCATGTACCAATACATTCACGATGATAAATACGGCGAAGCAGATTTGCTTTCTGACGATACCCATTCTTAAAGCGTCGCTGATGACGAGCGTTTCCATATGCAGCATATACTCTACCTTTAAATTAATTTAGTAATAAGTAAAGAAGAAAATTTGTCATGTTATCAGATCTCTATACTCTATTGCTAAAATAGGAGACAGTAGAGTGATAAATAATAACAGTTCCACAAAAAAAAGTGGTAGATCGCATCTCACACTATTTTTTCAAGAAAAAAAAAGGTACCTGTATTACATTTTCCACGAACAGTACTTATTTCAACTCGTACAAATTTGACGTAACTTTTCAGGAAAAACTTTCAAAGACCAGGAAACTTTCCAGGAAATATTTTCTGGTCTAGAAAACTTTCCTTCAAATGCAGATTACATAAGAATGGAAAGTAAATTGAATTAGATGCAACTCTTGAGGGTCAACTTTCAAAGATTGGAAAACCTTATAGAAAAAACTGTAGCCTAGGAAACTTTCCATTAAATTAAAATGTGGTAAAATGGAAAATATTAAAAGTACATCAGAAAAAACTTTCATAGACTAGGAAACTTTCCGTAAAGAACTTTCCAATCTAAGAAACTAATCTAAGAAAGGAATCAGAAAGTTTCTGTAGAGTTTTTGATATATTTGGCAGAAACCTTCCGAAAACTTTCCAGTTGTGGAAAACTTTCCTTGTTCAAAGTTCATTCCATTAAAACGTACCATATTTGTAAATTCTTAGGAAAAATAATTCGACAAAGATATATAAGAAAAACTTGGCAAGTTTCCTTAACTTTCCGCAAACCATTGCGAAAGATTTAAAGAAACAGAAATTGAACCATATTCAAAATGTTTCTAAATAGGATTTCGAAAAGTGTAGAACTTTCATTTTTAAATTTTAAAAGGAATGTAACAGATATTAAGAAGAGTAGTAAAATCGAAACTAAATAAAATTTGGGTTGACCGATCAAGACGTATGGGGTCTTAAAATGTTCGTCTAGGCAAGAACTTTCGGAAAAATCATGGCCCTCTCGAAAATACAACATGGCGCATCAAATATGGCGTCCGATAATGACTTTTGTCACGGCATATTGTAAAAGTTTTGGAATTTGTAAAATATGCATCTAAAATGCATGTAATAGTGATTCTAAGACCATTAATTAAGAATCTACCATTATGATTCAAAATTCCACAATGGCAGATCCAATATGGCGGATATTATCACCATTGCCCCAGCGAAAATTTTGGGTCAAGTTAAAATACCGGCGTGGGGGTATTTGAGTCTTTGAGCCCTATTTTAGCATCAAAATTTCAAAATTCAAAATGGCGGATGCAATATGGCGGACGCAAACCCTTTTTAACCCATTTTTATTCGTCGTATTGGATTGACCATATTAATTTTTGGAATTACAATGGATAAAAATAAATCAGGGTTCTCAAAAAAAAAACATACTAATACTATCAATTTATTCGAAATCCTGCCAAAATGGGTTTGTGTCTGCCATATTGGATCCGCCATTTTGAAATTTCGATGCCACGGCAGATTGGCGCCAGGACCAGATACATATACATGCGAGCCTCCAGCGATTGCTCACCTCAACAACACTTCTTTTTAACTAACTTTGTTTTTAATAAAAATACTTTTATTTTACCGTTGAGAGAGAGAGTGTTTTATTTTACTGTACACCGAAAGCAACCCTCAATATGATCACACAAATATTGTATTAAACACAGAACAAATAGCGCAGCCTTATCATTAAGCTCTAACAATATTTCTTTTTTTTGCAGGTGCTGCCACCGCCGATGGTTTGTATTGAGAAATGGTGCAAGTATGACTAGAGGTGGCATAGTTTTACTAACACTTAACACAGCAATGTCTAACCTACTAAGTGCTGTCTCACGCGTTCTAACATGTGATACTAACATAACCGTAAATCTAGCGAGGTACTTCGATGGCCTGTCAGAGGTTGCCCAGACGTAGAGAAAGAATTTTGGCACGTTCGGGAGCGGGATAACAAGCTCCTGAGGGCATCCGAGTATAGTATCCGTGATTTTAAAATTCCAAATGATCGACATGAGGTATAACAACGGGCCGCAGTCTGCAGCTAGGATGGTGGCGTCTTATGGAGTGTACAATGACACCAACCTCCGTTCCGACGAGGACGAGGACGGCTTCATCCCGCGCGCCAACGTCTATCGCGGCGTAGTAGTGAACGCCTCAGGTGACAGTAGCGTGGTGCGGTCGTCGCAGCTGCAGCAGCCATCTCCGGCGGCCGTAGAGACCAGCTCGCGTTGCGGGTGGTGTCTGAACGCACAGTCCACGACGCCCAACTCCTCCGGCAGGGATTCATGCCTGATCTCGTGGTGCCGGCCCACCATACTGCTGCTCATTTTAGTATTACTGGTGGTGGTGTTCGTGTTGGTGTCTGGAATACTGCTCTACTACAACTGTACGTTTCAAGGCTTTAGATGTCGATGCATGTTCGGTGTCCCTGCTTTTACCACTTAGCTGCTCTGTGGCCGCTCACAGCTCTTAATATTCGTTAGTTTGTGCATGTTCCCTGTGACTTGGGAGTAGCATAACTTACGAGTAGTTGTTGCTATAGCGACACCGTGTATGGCTTCCTGCGTAAAGGCGACAAAGTTGTAACTCCCAGTCGAATTAGATGATGACTAATTTAATTGCCTACAACACAAAATGACTAATTTTCCGATAGATCGTCTAGATTTCATGGGTACCTAGTAAAAAAAGTGAAAAAACATAAATTTGCCACTTATTTGCATTTTGCCAACTTAGGGTCACTTCTTTCGAGTTGTCTACTAATATATATATATATACTAAAATGTCTACTAATATATTTTTTTCAGACTCTAATTCGACTGGAGTAGAAATCTCAGTGTTTGTTTTCTTTATATTAGTTTCGTTAGTGGTGCATTGTTTCCACGTATTATTAAATTAGTACAAACCGATGTTAGTACAGCTGTGGACACAAAAAGAGATCCGACCTAAAACATCGAAAAGGATTAAGGAACGAAACTAATGCAACTGTATTTTATTAAGGACCAAACTGCTTCGTTACAAAACTTTTTTTTGTCTACAGGTGTACCGGGTATCTCGTTAAAAGATGTCGTAAGTTGCAACACCGTCATTTTTAGTCCGATTTAAAAAAGACAGAAGATTGGAGTTAATTTTTTTACTCTGTTTTGAAGATATTAATTCAAAATTTTTCTTCTAAAAAAATCAGGTTAAGAAATATTAATAGAATAAATTAATATACACGGTGATTCAGAACTTATCCAAAAAAAAATAATTCTGGATGTACAAGGGACCCTTACAAATACAATTTTGTAAAGAAAAAAGCAAAAAGGGCAGTTCGAAATTGATTTAAAAATATACTTCTGCACGGCACTGGAAACTGGTCCACTGTAAAACCTGACCTGGCACAATGCGACCGGCATGGCGGTGTGATAAGTACGAACAAAAACTTTCGCAAGGAAAGAAATAAATAGAATTTTATAGCACCTATTTTATATCGGCAAATTCAAATGCTTTTGCCTTTATTAATTGTTAATAAAATTAATTTGTGTTTTTAAATAATAAAATCATTTGACATACCCGATGTTACAACAACAATTGTTCAAAATTTTATCCACTAACGAGTAAACACATTTGAGTCCGTCTTACTCACTTTCTACGAACTAACACAAATGTTGTCTTGCTTCACCATAAATTAAAACGATATCCATCAACTCTGAGTTGCTATACACGCAAATCATTTTTGACACTAACTACTAAAAAACTGTTGTAAATATTACAGATAACAGGTAAAAACTACCGCAACGACGGATTTCAGTATTAGGAGTCCAGCTATGTAGTGGTTGAATGTACTATAACTTCAATAATTTTTTTCTCGGAAACTATAAGGATTTTACAACAAAATTTTTTTTACGTTATTAACTCCATTTCTCATGCCGCATCTATTCCCAAATTTTTTTGGATAAGTTGTGAATCACCCTGTATAAAATTTTATGCAGTTTTTACTAAATTCCTTAATTTTTTATGATTAAACAACAAAAAGAAGCAAAATTTCAGTTCTCTTTTACTTTACCTTGGGCTCCTTACGTTTTTTCATTATCGTGTACATTTGACAGTACTATAATTTTACTTAATGTACATCTTCAACAGATGTAGCGGAGGTGATCAGTTTGAAATCTTCCGCATATAAGAGAACATCAGTTAGAAGATTATCACAACTGTCATTAATAAACATATTTAATATTAACGGGCCAAGAACTGAACCCTGAGGTACCCCAGAAGTAGCAGCAATTTCAGTCCTTGTAAAACCACATTACTGAAATTGATAATTTACGGATTAGAATGGCGTGATAGCTATTGGCAGATACATATAAACTATCAATCTATCCAATAAATATCTAAATATAGGAATAAAATCGTTAATAAAATAATATGTTGATAAAACGGTTTTTAGGAAATATTTCTTTCCATTTTCAAAACAAATGCGTTACACGAAAGGAAATTACACGAGAAATCGAAGAATTAAGCGCATTTTTTCCCGAGCAAAAGAGTTTCGTAGAATAAAAACACACGAAAAATTTAAATCGTTCAGCGATTTGTAATATCTGACTTCCTTTTTATCGCCACATTATTCAATACTTTTCGGAGACAGTCAGAAACGTTTGTGAGATATTGCACAGATATTCGTTTTAAGAAATTTAAAAATGTCGCTGAATAATTACATAGTAGGAAAAGTCAATTCTAAATTAGTACATATACAGGCTGTTGCAAATAAAAGTGGTATTTTTTTACTACTGTGCGTAACATCTTAAATTTACGCACACTGGTGCGTAAATATTTTATGCACTAGTTCGAAAAATAAATTGTTTACATGTAACTAAATTTTACACTTACTTTAATTCATGTTCAACTATGCATTATTTCCCAATATAGCGTTAAAATATTATTAAGCGCTTCAGTTTGAAGCGAAATATGTTCCAAATTAAGTTATTAGCTCCATCTAAATTAGACCTGATTTAATTTCTATTGAAACTAATATGCAATTAATATTTTCAAATTACATTACAACTTTGTCACGCATATTGAAGGTATTAATTGAGTTAACAGAATTTATTTTTTAATTATATGATAAATCAATTTAAGCCTTGTATCCAACGTAAAAGCTTTAACATTTACCCCTTCAAACGGAATTGTTTACTTCATTATTTTACATTTTATTAGAGTAGATTTCAAAGTAAAATTTATTTTATAATTAGCGTAAACGTGGATGAGATACAACCTACACAGCACGTCATATTTCAATTGTCAATGACTACCGACACAAAGCATGGTTTTTTGGAATAGGCAAACTCGGATTCTTATTCTACATAATTTTTGGGATTTTTCTGTACAACAAAATAGATTATTTCAAATACAAACGCCGCTAATGCTCTAGCGCCTGAACTATAAGGTCATTCGTCACCAGTCATAGACCATTTTCGAACTTATTAGACGAACTATTTAGCTATATGGATATCTTATACCGACCCGATTTAAGTGTAGGTGAGTTATAACCTATAAAATATCGAGTGTCCCAAAATTCACGCGGTAAAGTGTTGTCAACGAAAAAAAACCTCCACTGGATCAGTATTTGTTGATGAAAGTTCTCAGAATCTATTTCATTAGTTGTGTGGCGTAAATTATTTCGTTTGTTTTGGCCATGCTGCGGTTTCAGCGAGAGGGATCCCTTTACATGGGAACCCTCTAATAAGAGGAGATAAGTGAGGATAAGTGTAGACGTCTTAAAGAGGCAAAACAGCTCATATAAAGATACCCGAAAATGAAACAATTCATTAGTTTGGGGGGGGAGGGAAGGGGGATAGATAGAAAGGGCTTCATTAGACTCAAATTTCTGGGTTAACGATGCGTGCACGCCCATTCAGATGTAGCTTTTGCCGGTAATTGTCAAGTTGCGTACCACTCAAGGCAGTTAGTAGAGGTAAGAGTAGTTTACATAAATCTCTAGATCATTAACTGTTCTAACTTTATTACCGAAATGTTCAGCTCTCGGCAGGTGGAAGACAGATAAATTTGTTATTGCTGGAGAGTATTTTACATTTGTATGTGCTTGAGTTCGTAACGAAGTAACTAACATTCTACAACTTTCCGTAATAAAATTTCTACGTAATGAAGCACTTTAGATCGGTCTTACTGGTATTTAACTTTGAATAAAGAATCTATTTTTATCTATATGGGTTGTTTCTGAAACAAAACCACAAACTTCTACAGCGAAGAAAGTCAAAAATGTGTATAAATATTATTTTATGCACATGAGTGCCACAGATAACACAGGTCTGCACAAAAAGTGGTTGTGCTTGTTCTAGAGCAACTGACGATCATTTCCGAAGTAATTTTTTGCGTAGAATCCATATCCGACCTCATATTGCTCCATCACGTCACGCTTCCGAGACAGTTTAGTTTAGTTTAGTGAAAAATGTTAAATTTTATGCGTAAGGTCTGTCTGCCAAAAAGTATAAAAAATGTGGGAAGTTTTTAATTTTATGCACTAGTGTCTATCATTTGAGTGAAATTAAGCGATGTATTTTTTCCATTAGTAAAATGCTTATTTTGTACACTAGTGCGTAAAGTACTTTTACGTTTTAGTGTCTAAAAACAAATGAGATTGATTACATCCACGCATATACAAGCAACCAATTGTTTTATTTATTCTATTTATTCATTATTGAAAAATTATCCATGTTACCGAGGACAACTGTCAATTTTTCTCATT